GATCCGAGCAAGAATTCAAGATCTCTAGGTGAATGATATATGTAGAAGTTTGAGGTTCTTTCATGCTACACAATTATATAGCATCTGGGCTCCACTTTAACTGCCACGGCTGCATCATATGGAATTCAGGAATTTGGAGTTTAAGGAGGGGCATTTGAAATTCTCAGCCAAGGAGCTCTAATGCCTCACCAAACTACAAGGATGAAATCATGGCAGTTGAACTGGAGCCATAGTATCATCACTGTATAATGTAAAATGGGTCCTAGAGATCTTTAAACCTTGCACAGATTTATGTGGGTTTTTTGGTTGTCTAATAAAGGATATTGCGAGTAGCCAACAGAGTTACTTCTGTAATTTTGTATCAACAGAAAAATCATATAATCTTGCTAAGTCTGCTTCCCAGAAGTTGAACAAAAACAGTCTTGGAATGAATGAATAGAAAAGCCCACTATTACTTTCCTGATTCCTTCAGAAATGACCAAAATAGAGCTTCTCATCCATTTCATGGTACAGATTACATCAACATCCTCATCACATGTCAAGCCCATGACTTAATTTGAGTTGGCCCCATTTTCAACACCATATCTGAAATGTGTGAAAAATAACAACAGAACAAATGATAGCCTCTGAACAACCAGAAACAGCATCTTTTACAAAATTTCCCATCTGTCAGGGACAGACCTAACATAAGGCAAAGTGTGATGAACCTCAGAACAGAAATGAGTTATGGCAGACGTATGTGGGTTGGCTGCCCCAAAATAATACCATCCTGGCTGGAAGTCTCGATTGGATTAACATATGATTCTATGAAAACAATTAATCAAAATAATTCAAAGCACTTTCAAAGCACTGGCTGACAATTCAGTTTTTTTGGGAGGTGGAATCAAAAACATCTGAAGCAATAAAGCTTGGGAATCACTGTTTTGAAGGCCCTCTTCCAGGGAGAAAAATCTTTTGGGGAGGAATGACCCCAGGGATGTCAATGGCACTTATGTTATCGGCTCCTCAAAGGGATTTACTGGAGAATCCTGGCATGCATGATCCAATCTGATCTTGGAGCCTGCTTCTAGCAACATCACTTAAGAAGGAATGAAAGATGGATGCAAAGAATGATGATATTCTTGACTGTGAAGCATGATCCTCCTAGGGAGCAAAGATGCACCAAAAATCATATAACTAAATGGGCTTCCTCAGCTTTGCGAATTTTGCCCACATCTTTGCTGCACTGTTACTGCACTGTATAAAATATTTATTTGAACGTGAGTTCTTGTTGCTTCAACAACTGGATTTGAATGGTTCTACCCAAGAAATAAAAATTCCATGCAGTAGGAAGATGGGGAGATGTTATTCAACTCATGTATTTCAAGCAGTCCTCATCTTATGCTATGTTCATTCTATTTTTTGAAAATCATATCATATCAAGGCTCATTGCCCACTGTGCTCCTCAAGTATAGGCTTGGGATTCTTACAAAAATCCACTCAGACTCCCCTACCTTTTTGCTTGGAGTTGAATTGATTCTTCTTTTCAACAAGCTACAGTGTACAGTATGCCTAGGGAGGCCATATTATGTCAGAAGTGGATACACAACCCATGGATATGGGTGATCATACTGTGATTTGCTCCTTACAGAGCAAGGAGGAAATACTACGATAAAAAAGGCTCAATGTCATAGTGGGCGAAGCGACAGCTCCTCCTGTGGGTGAATTGAGCAACCTCCAGGATCTGAAGTGGAAGAACTGCTGAATGGCCTCTATATGTCTGTATGTCTTGTATGTCAAAAACGGCATTGAATGTTTGCCGTGTATATGTATATTGTGATCTGCCCCAAGTCCCTTTCGGGGTGAGAAGGGTGGAATAGAAATACTGTAAATAAATAAATAATAAATAAATTTAGTTTATTATAAGCAACCAATCCAATTCTTGCCCCGAAACCCAGATAATAGTGTTGGTCCTCTTCTCCTTATAGTGCCCTCTTGTCTTTCCTACTCTTTTTAAGGAGAAGAATGAGATCCCTCCCCATAATGAATGCAGCAGTATCTTTCAGCTGTCTGTGGGTTCTCATTGCATGAAGCAATAGTAACATGCAACTAAATAAATAGATAGGGATTGATTTCTCATTTGTTGGTGGAAAAGACCTCCAATGTCTCCACACTGCGTTGTCAAGAATGAATGAGGGTAACAAAAAAGAAGAGGCAGTACCGAATGGTTGAATTACTTTTGGAGAGGAAAAACATGCATGATGCACCTTACAACATCAACCAACCAAAAATGCATATTGGAGTTATGGCATCCACCTGCACATCTCTTTTGGAAAGGATTGGCTTGCACTTGATCTCCTTCTTCAAACAAATTTTCACATTGAGGGTGAAAAAGACAATATTAAGGGGAATTCAAAGTCCCAATGATTAACCCTCCTCTTTTTCCCCCCTTTCCCAATGGGATTTTCTTAGTAATTAGACTTACAAGTTAAGCCTGTGTTTACCTTCCAGTGACTAAACTCAAAACAAAGATGTGTAGGTGGGGAAATCATGTGCTATGACAAAGATACGTCTTTTCACACTTGGGAAACTGTTTTTGCAAAAACTGTAGCAAATATATAATCTTGTTTGACCCACCAGACACACTCTAATTGGGGTGGAGAAATTATATTTCCTTCTTTACCCATCCACACGTTTTTAGAAAAGTCCAGTCACACCTCAAGGATTCTAGTATGAAGGGAAATGCAATGGTGTCACTGAAACCAAAGCTCTGCGTGGAGAATTGCTTTCCAGCCAAAAGGCCAGGCATCCATTTTGCAAATTAGTCTTTTGATTTATTGATTGTATTTCCTTTTAAAACAAAACTAACAGGTGAACCTTAGTCCTTTCTATGATCTAAACAATTGCATTGCTTAAGACGTGTTCAAGGAGAAGCCATTTTGGTCTATTTTGCCACATTAAGCAGGACCAAAGGTACCCTAACTCAGGCTATGTCTTGTCTTTCCCTCTGCATCAAACTTTTCAGGCTCTTGTTGAAATCTTTGTGAAATAGGTGATACTTTACTAACCACTTGGTAGCTAATGCAGAATCTCCAACTGAAGAAGCTGATAATCACATCATATGGCATCCTTAACAGAAGGCAAGTCAACATAGTCATCTCAATGGTGTGATATCCCAAAATGAGTTGGGCAACATTGTTCTACCTTGAGAGCATCCCACTTGCTCTTTAAATGTCCCCACTATGAAGCTCTTACAAAAGTCACTGTTTCTTGCTCTACACTTCATCTACCAGTCTAACAAAAGCTAAACTGTTCAGCTGCAATTCTGATATCAAGATGGAGTGACGTAAGAGAATAACACTTGAAGAAGCAATTTCACACCACCTACTTCTTTCTTATTGTCTCTCACTGAGATGAATGTCCCAAAGAGATATTTCCAAGCTACCCCAGCCTGCCAAACTACAAGATCTTAAACTACAACCCTTTAAGACATCAATTCCTTCTAACTCTTATATATAAATATAACCATATCCGGCCTTCATCGGAAGTGTATCACTGCAAGTGGAACAGCAGACATGCAAGTGGAACAATGCAAGTGGAACAGTAGACACACCTCCAAGAAATACCCCATCAATAGTCCCTTGTATGAAGAACCAAGCAAAAAGCACAGAGGTAGGTGCAGGATGATTCTAGAGAACCTTCTTGGTAGGTGGAAGATGAATCTAGAATCATCTCTAGGCCTCAACCAAAGATGATTCTAGGCAACCTTCTTCTCTGGTTCAGGAGTGCCACAAACCTTTCCTGATTCTGAAATCCATGCATCCGGATGTCTTCTTTTGTAATCCCATCCCATATAACACCTCAGCTCTGTTCCTGCTCTAGTCACATCTATGGAAACCTATGGTAGGATTCCATACCAATGAAATGCCTTGGCTAAAATCATACCCTTTAAGAATCTGCGAATTGGTAATTGTTTTGCTAGGCATCACACATGGAAAACAAAAATGTATTGATGGCTGCAATAAAGCAACAAACCATTGGCAAATTACTGTTATAAGTAATAACTGTGATAGTAGTAACAGCAATGTCGATCTTAGATGTTGCTCTTTTAACTGCGAAATTAACAGAAAAGCCAAGGAGTACTTTTAAATAAAATACAGACCAAGTATCCCTTATCAGAAATGCCTGGGACCAGATGTGTTTTGGATTTCAGATTGCAGGTCTGTGTGCAATACCTATATTTACATATATGTCCATAATGCAATATCTTAATAAAAGGATGCAAGTCTAAATATACATCGCCTGAAGGCTCGATAGATACACATGGTATAACATGTGTATCTATCGAACCATCAGAAAGCAAGGATGGCTTTATTCTAGCCATCCATGTGGACAATTTTGGATTTTGGGGATTTCAGATTTAGGATTTCCAGATAAGGGATGCTCAAGCTATATATATTTCACCTCATTCTGTTTCCTTTTTATTTATGCTTCTTTCTTAGGAAGATTCCCAGAAGATAGGCATATTGAAATTCAATAAACAGCAGTGGAAGAGAGGCGAGATCTTATTTCAGATATAACTTGAGTTACGAAGACTCCTTTGTTGCTCGATTTCATGCCACTGATCACAGTCGCCTACATTTCTGCTAGACAAATACATTTTGGTTGTCAAAAACGGGTCTGCATCTTGATGACTCTATTTGAGCACATGACAAGGAATAGAGATACAAGCTTCCAATACAAGCCCTACACAGAATGGCTCACATCCTAAGTATCAGAGGGTCCCTCCCATCATGCCCCCCCCCACAACCCAGCATATTTTTTACGGAGTTAGTATGTGTTTTCATACAGAGCACTGGGAAGAAGAGGAAGTGAGGCGATAATGCAGGGTAGGAGGTGGGGAGAACAAGCATTAAAACTTTGAAGAAAGGAGTGGCATCATTCTGAAGACTGCCGTAAAGTCATATGGGATGTCCGAGGCGCAAGGTCTCACTGAGCGTGCAATGGTGGGCGAAACTTACACACAGATGTCTTCTGGTTCGTGTCCTTACTTGGCATCAGTTTCACTCCTCTAGACTTTATTTCCATTTGTTTTTTAACTGAGAAGGAAAAGCAAGAGAATGAAGTTCAGAAATGGGAAAGGAATGGAAAAGAAGACTGGTCTCAGTTTTGCATTCTAACATGTTCGACTTAAGCCACTCAACTAAAAATACCTGGCTGAGAGCCTACATCAAGAAGATGGAGTGCAACCTGACACTCACAAAGTCGTACAATGAACACAAACAAATTTGATTATTACATTTGTTTATATCCTGCAGTTTTCCCAGATTGGCGCTCAAGAAAACATACAGAACAATGAGCTAAAAGTGATTAAATGATCAAAACAAAAATAAAATCAGTGAAAAACATAAGCCATCGGGGGGAAATAACACGCTGAGGGTGCTTCCAGACAGCCCTTAAATAGGAGAACATCCGCATTTTAAAAATGCAAATGTTCCCGGATCCTAATCTGCACACACACCAGAAAGTGCATGCTTTCTGGAGTGGGTGTCCAGATGTTCTCCCAGAACTCCAAGAGAACACCCGGACACTCTAACCCCCTCCTCCAAAGCCCTCTTAAAAATAAAAGAACTTACCTGGCCTCCATTACAGTGGTGCCGGAGCTCTCAGGGAAAGGGGGGAGGAAGAAAATTGCTCCTGTCTCCCCTCACCCTCCTAGCATGTCATTTCTACGAACCAGGAGAGCTCTGGCAGCACTCTAATGGAGGCCAGGTAAGTTCTTTTACTTTTAAAAAGGCTTTTGGAGAGGGGGGGGGGGTGTCCTCGTGGTTTTCCGGGCTAATTTAGCCCAGAAAACTGTGGAACTATTGTCTGGACTGTTCCTCAAAAGCCCAGAAATCTGGTTAAACAAACAAACTGGGTCCAGGTGGATGAATACACAGAAAAAGAGAAGTAAAGAAATACAACTGTGAATACCATAAAATTACGAACTGTAAGAGGTGTCAATTAGAAATTAAGAAGATCATATAGACATCAAAGTGGAGCCTGCATAGGACTAGAAGGAAGTCACATGACCTTTCCATATATATATATATATATATATATATATATATATATATATATATAGATATCATTTTTTTTCTTTTTCTCTCTCATGTATATATTTTCTTTATTTTATGTACACTTCTAACTCCTTATTTTCCTACTTTTCTTCAAAATACTATGTTTCCCCACTTTCCTTGGATATTATCTATTTACTTTATACCAATAAAAAAAAAAGCCCAGAACTTTTGAGGGAGCGGCCCAGACAGCAGAAGTAGTGGGTTTATCCTGCACCTTCCAAGAAGGCGTGGAATAAACACACTAACAAATTAATTTGCCACAAACCAGAGTTTTCCTGGTTTGTGGCAAATTAATTTATATTTCTCTGGGACATCAATGGGATGGTTCCCTTTTAATTGTGGGAACTCCTGCATTAAAGAGGCTGTCTGGATGTGCCCCAAGTCTCTATGTCGGAAGAAAGGCATTATCCTGCCTTTACTAAAGTGAATGAATGAATAAATTTCCTGGACCCAAAATGGGCCAGAAAGACTCCAAAGTATGGCAATGCCCCACCTCCTGGAAATGTTACCTAAAGGGCATTTGAGAGAAAAAAAATCTTCTTCTAGAAGCAGAGGCAGTGGAGATGGATGTGGGTCCCCATGTAACTTATTATGCCTTCTTGGCCTTTCACAGATGCCTACTCTGCTCTATAGTGATTTATCCATTTTTCCAACCTATATATGATTGGTCTGGCTTTGAATTTTTCCTTCATCTGGCAACTTCCATCCTGTGCTAATTTTGAAAGATAAACTCATGTCTCTTTTTAAAAACTCTGCACCCCTAAGTCCCCTGACATATGAAGAATGGCTTCTTGAAAACTTATCTTTTTCATGAGCTCCACACCCAATTGCTCAGACTATTATGTTGGGGAAAATGGGTTTTCTACCAAGCTCACGGGATTAGAAACCCCTGACATTTTCTTTAATCAGGGAAGAAATTATAACATTAATCTTTCCTCGACTGCTTTTGCAAAACGGCACGATTTAGGAAGGTGTGTGTTTTTAATAGCCAAGCAACAATCATGCCTTTGATTTCCCCTTTCTCTCTCTTTCTTTTTAAAAAAACTTGGTTACAATCAAGTGACGGGGCAAGGGCTCAATTGAAAAATGATAACTAAACAGCTTTACATATTAAATTTGAAAAATTATTCATAAAGTTCGTAACCTGAGCTCCTTTGCAACACTGTGAGAATGCAATCATAATTAACACACAGGGTGGTTTGTCACTAATAGGGATATGCAAAAATCGTCAGAGCTGATTGCATTGTGTTCCTCCAAATCCCACCTGTTTTCTGCCCTATCATTTGTTCTCATCAGATTGTGAGGCTTTCATTTTAATTCCCGTATGCAATTTCCATAACGTGCACAATCAGTCATGTACTTTCTCAAACATATGCATCTCCTTATTAACTGGAGCATGCCTGTGTGTATGCTTCAATTGTGTGTATTTTAGCACCTTTTTAAAAAAGCAGTGCTATGTGATTTCTCTGAAACATACTGGAAATCTTACAATTGGGGGAAATGAATATTTAGTCTTGTAATAAGTCCCAGAAGAGGAAATGAATCCATTTTGGCACGCATCTCGAACCCTACAAACTATAAAGTTGCACATATAGTTCTATGGGTGTGTTCTATGAATTCAAATGATGCTTTCAGGATTAGGTATATTACTACAGTATCAATTTTATGGCCACCCTTTGTACATCTAGCTTTATTCATATGGAAGCAATCCCATTGCCAAATCCTATTCCTAAGTAAGGATGGTTCCAGACCAGAGGCGGCCCTAGGTAATTTTCAACGTTAAGCGAACAGTATTTTGGCACCCCCCCACCAATCACTGATATATATTTTCTGGGAGTTCTGTGTGCCATATTTGGTTCAATTCCATCATTCGTGGAGTTCAGAATGCTCTTTGATTGTAGGTGACTATACATCCCAGTAACTACAACTCGCATATGTCAAGGTCTATTTTCCCTCAAGAGTGGCCCTGGGCAAAATCAACTATACTGCAAATGCTTACTTTGCATAATGGGTTGAGCCGTCCCTGTTCCAGACAGCACTTTAGGGTTTTTAAAAGTCTACACCACCAGAAAGTGTGTGCTTTCCTGGCTGGGGGTGTCCAGATGTCCTGCTAGGCTTTCTACCAGGGCATCGGGATACAAAAGACACCCCCCACCCAGAAAAGCCTTTAAAAAAGGAAAATAACTCACACAGCTACCATTTCCCCTTCTCCAGAGCTCTACTGGGTCATACCAATGATGTGTCAGGAAAAAGGGGGAGCCAGGAATGATTTTTCTCCCCCCCCCCTTTTCCTGGCGCATCATTGGTATGACCCAGGAGAGCTCTGGAGAAGGGGAAATGGCAGCCGGGTAAGTTATTTTCCTTTTAAAAAGGCTTTTAAATGAGTTTTGGGAGGGGTGGGGCTGTCTTGTTTTTGTTTTGCTTCAGGAGCCCAAAAAATCCAAGACAGCTGTGTGAATTGGGACCAGAAGTTGTGCAATGCGATCCTCGGGCCCAATCCTTGCAGCCCCCTGCACCTGGAAAGATACGGGTCTTATGAAAGACCCGCGTCTTTCCAGATATCAAATTGTTGTTGTTCATTCATTCAGTCGTCTCCGACTCTTCGTGACCTCATGGACCAGCCCACGCCAGAGCTCCCTGTCGGCCGTCACCACCCCCAGCTCCTTCAAGGTCAGTCCAGTCACTTCAAGGATGCCATCCATCCATCTTGCCCTTGGTCGGCCTCTCTTCCTTTTTCCTTCTACTTTCCCCAGCATAATTGTCTTCTCTAGGCATCTCTCTAGATATCAAATTACCTTGGCACAAAGCAGGGTTTCCTACTTTGTGCTGAATGCAATCACATTTACCTGAGATATCATCTGGATGCCCCAGGTAGATATCTGGGAGGGCATGCATTTTAGGGCCTTTCTGGATGGACCCTAAGAGTGCATCTATACCAATGGTTCCCAATCTTTGGGCCTCCAGGTGTTTTGGACTTCAGTTCCCACAGTTCCTAGCAGTTGGTAAACTGGCTGTGATTTCTGGAGTTGAAGTCCAAAACACCCAGAGACCCAAAGATTGGGAACCACTGATCTATACTGTAGAATGAATGCAGTTTGGCACCACTTTAACTGTCATGACTATGGAATCCTGAGAGATGCTATGGAGAGATCCACTCTTTCATAGAGAAGGTGTAAGAGTTTGTAAAACTACAACTCTCTGTTCTCGAACTGGAGATTTCAGGTTGGGAACCTGGATTTAAACTGTTAAACTGATCTGGAAAACTGTGAATTGATGAAATGAGAAATGGACAGGAAATGGACATGATCAGATATAGGTTGCATGGGCATCCCTAAGTCACATCATAATGCCTTTCTGTCATGCTTTACCACTGTGAATGTGCCCATGAGCCATGCGGGGAAGAAAAGGAATGCACACATTTGGGACAGGATTTTAAATATCCTCAGAATTTGGGAGAATAGATTGAGCAATACGAAGGACTGGAAATACCTTGGTACTGTGCACTAAAGCCCTTTTGCCTGTGGTTGCCATCTGACATGAAGTGAAGACGAAGCCAATTTTTGCTGCTGATGACAGGGGCGGGAAGGTTCGTTCCTGTAAACCTGCAAAAACAAGAAGAAAGGGGTCGTGTTGTATTCATTTCAAAAGGAAAAGTCACCTCTATGATGTCAGGTTGTTTCATTCCAACAATATTTTCAGAATGCCACACAGAAGCAAAGCAGAACTTTCTGTGGCTTACTCTCAACTAGGTATGCATGAATACACATTGTAGAATTAATGTGGTTTGATGCCACTCTAATTGCAATGGCTTGCAATGGCTTGATGCTATAGAATCCTGGGAGTCCTACCTTGGTGAGACAGTAGCACTTGTTGGCACTTGTTGGCAGAAAAGGCTAAACGACTTGTAAAATTACAACTCCCAGGATTTCATAGCATTGAGACATACCTGTTAAAGTAACATCAAACTGCATTAATTCTATACCATTGTTTAGCAACTCTTATGGTCAGCTTCATGGCACTGAAACGATGGTGAGAACCTCCATCAAACCTTACTTGTAAAACTTGGACTTGTTCATTACTGGATGAGCAATTCAATTCAAAAACTGAATTTCAAGGTGAGTGCAGAACAGGTGGAAGATTAATAATATGGAGGAAAACCTCTGGGCCAAGCCATCAGAGATTTCATCAGAAACAAATGTTTACCTAATAGTCACATGCGCCTTGCAAAATTGGGGTACACGAGAGCAAAATGAACGACCTTAACCAGAACAGTGCAAACAACATTAACATGATAGGAGCTATTACGGAATCCAATTACTTTTAACCAAAGTCCATTTCAGGCATTTTATTAGAGACAGTGTCACATTTGTTAGAGGCGATTGGTATTCTATGACCAACCTTCCTTGGCGCAAAAGGGTAAAATAAATACATTAAAATAAAAGATGACAATGACACACAGTCCCATACATTTCCCTCTCAAAGAAATGATACTTCTCAGCTCTTTCCAATACAAGAAATTCTCAAATCAACATGTCACTAGCTCTGATCACTGCAGCAACCCATGAATGATACTGTTGGAGGTAAAAAAAAAAAAACAAAAAACCTCAGTGCAATAACAGATCCTCCATATGGAGGGATAAAACATAAAAGGGAGGCAGAACTACACTTTTCAGCATTGCCTTCCACATCACAGTCCCATCAATCTCTGTCTATGAAATGAATCCAAACTCTGTAGCTATTAGGCATGGTTAGGTTTCATTGGAATATTTGTAATTCGGAATAAAGTTGGAAAAGTTACCTTTTTGAAGCAATTTCAAAGTTATTTTAAGAAAAGGAAGTCCCTTTGCCCTTTCGAAGCTTCCCTCACCATTTTTGATATGACCCAGGAAGTGAGTCGGAAGTGAGTCAGTGTTTGAAGGCAAGCAGCTTGCATGCTGGGGGGCTGCTTGCTCCCAGCCAATGAGGGGAGAAGTTTTGGGGAGGGGAGGGGTTTCGACACGGCAGCCACTGCACTATATAAAGGACAGCACATGGCTCAGAGGCTCATTGTGAGCCCAGGAAGGGAAGGGAGAAGGGAAAGGGAAAGAGAAAGGGGAGGTTGTGAAGGGAGGTTGGAAGAAGAGCAAGGCAAGCAGAGAAGGGTTGTTGCTGGCCTGGCTGCCTGCCTTGCAGCCGCTTGTGTGTTGTTGCTGTTGGGGTTTGGGACGGGTGGGCAACACGTGGATAATATTGGGGTGCGTGGGTGCGTGGTGTGGCGTGGGTGAAAGAAACAGCACAGAGGAAGCAAAGCACTCCAATGTTTGAAAAAGCCGCAGCGTTGTAGCATGGGTATTGGGTGTGTGGGTGGAAGGAGCAGCACGGAGGAACTAAAGTCCTCCAACATTTGTAAAAGCCCCAGCATTGCAGCAGCTCTCTCTGGCCTCTGTATTGCACATTGCCTCAATAGAACTAAATCTCCCATCAATTCAAGCCACTCTTTGAACACAAACTCTGCCTGTTATGGGTAGGCCAACTTGGTAGCTTACACTATATTGGTTATTGCTGCAAGTAATGACAGTGTGACTAAATTGCCAACATTTGCTCGAGATAGTGCTTGCAGTTCTGGAGGGATTCATTTAATTTTTGCTTCTCATAGACTTAGCATGGGGATTTTGGTTAACTAGTTAAAAGTCATGAGTAAACAATTTTGGGGGGTTTGAACCCTTAAACCCCCCCCCCCCCCACTACAGCCCTGATTATCCGTTTGAGGTAGGTGTGAATGTTTCAATTGGCCCTATTGATTAGCATGTAATGGCCTAGAAGTTTTAAGGTCTGGCTTCTTACTGGCTGGGGGAATCCTTTGTTGGGAAGTGATTAGTTGGCCCTGATTGTTTGTTGTCCAGAATTTTGGCCGGGGGGTGGGGATGAATCCCTAACACCCCTGCCCTTGGCTACAGCCCTGGCTTCAGCCCTGGCTACAACTCCTTCCTTCCTTCCTTCCTTCCTTCCTTCCTTCCTTCCTTCCTTCCTTCCTTCCTTCCTTCCTTCCTTCCTTCTTTCCTTCCTTTCCTATACTGGGAGCTGAGGGCACACCAGTTGGTGACAGTCTTGGCACTGGTTAACACTTTGAATAGGAATTGCAATATAGTTGTTTGTCACCCTACTCGTTTTACAAAGTGAAAAAAGAGAGAAAGAAACAAACAGGAAGACATATGCCCCCTTCTCCCCCTTCTACTTCATTTATATCATAAAGAAACACTGGATTTCACTCTTTTTAAGGCACCCTCCCCTTCGTACTGCATTAGAACTAATTCTGGGCAAATGGAGGTTTCCTTAATGGGACCAAGTTTGGGAAGAAATAGGAAAAAGAAAGAAAATAAATGCCTTTTAATTAGTCTTCTTGGAAAGTGATCTCAAGCAGATACGTGCCTGGGCTGATATCAGAACCATGCAGCTGGGAGCCCCAAGGGGATAAATTAATAGAGGATGCACAGGGAATATTTGTGGCTGTGGCTGTCATCTATGGATTTGTTTTGGAAAATGTATAGCTTATAAACTGGAGCTAGAAAACTGTGCTCACAGACTAGACACTGGGTATTTCCTCATTAGCACCACAGATTCGAAGCTGCCAGCCTTGCCCATTTATTGAATACATTGCTGGAAGGGTATGGTGCATCATCTCTTGGACCACTCATTGTGGCCAGTGAAGTGCCCTGCCAATCTCACAAAGCCCTTGACTCCTACAAATAGTTTAAAAATGACATGATTTCAGGAACCTTTTGCTCTGAAACAGAAAACACCCCAAGTGAATGAAGGCATGCACAAGTACTAGGGCTGTGCAAAAAATCACAAGAGCATCATACATTGTAAGTATTTTGTTAAAACCGTACTTAGACCCTGATTTAGAGCTCCCAGAGCCACCCCTTATTGAACACAAATGAATTTAAAACACCCTCCTTCGAGTTTTTGTAAATTTATTTATTTACCCTATTTATACCCCGCTTTTCTCTACCCCAAAGGGACTCAAGGCGGTTTATATGTAAAGTAGAGGAGATTTCATCTGAACATGAGGAAGAACTTCCTGACTGTGAGAGCCGTTCAGCAGTGGAACTCTCTGCCCCGGAGTGTGGTGGAGGCTCCTTCTTTGGAAGCTTTTAAACAGAGGCTGGATGGCCATCTGTCAGGGGTGATTTGAATGCAATATTCCTGCTTCTTTGCAGGGGGTTGGACTGGATGGCCCATGAGGTCTCTTCCAACTCTTTGATTCTATGATTCTAGTTAGTTTGCTTCGTGTGTCCTCTCTCTCTCTCTCTTTGTCCACCTCCTTTCCCCTACTTGTGACCTCGCAGTGGTGGCAGGGCTATTCTTCTACCCCTCTCTTTCTCACCCACTCTCTATTGACCTCCCCCTTGCAGCGGTCCACATGCCTGGAAGAGGAGGAGGCCCTGGCAAGGGCTGCAAGCAGGCCCTGCCCTGGGCCTGGGGTGAGCCGCACGCCTGCCAAAGGCCTCCCACTCTAGCACGACCTTTCACAAGAGAGCCTGAAGCTTTGGAAGAGGTAGAGGTGCAAGAGTGCCTGCCATCTTAAACGCAACCTGTGGCCTTTGGTGGGGCCTCCTCTTCCACTGGACGTGTGGTTTGCCCGAACCTCAGTAAAGGACAGGGCTTGCTCAATGGAGCAAGCAGGCCCTGCCCTAAGCCTGGAGGAAGAGGAGGACCTGCCGAACGCTACAAGCCCTGCTTAAGATGGTGCGTACTCTCATGCCAGAGGCCTTCAGCGGGACTTCTTTCCCCGTCAGGTACGTGACTTGTCCCAGACTCAAGGTAGCTCTCTGTGAAACCTCCCCTTCCGCTGGGCTCATGGCTCACTCCAACATAGCACAGGACAGGGTCTGCTCATCTAATGTTGGGCAGCAGATGGAGAAGTGCCCTGCGGGGCCTCCTTTTCCACCAGATATAGCTTAGCTCTTGTAGATTTTTTTTAAAAAAATAACAAAATGAAAAAATAATAAATTTCTTGTCACTTTATATTAGATACAACCTGGACCCCTTACAAATTTTTCAAAACACCTTAAAATCAATATGAGGGCCGCACAAATTTCGTAAATACAACAAAGCGGATTTTTGGCTTTGTGTACAACTTCTATCGTGATTGTGTCTATTGGAATTTTTGTATTATTATTATTATTTTATTTTAATGTCATTTTTATAATGTTGTTGTTGTCTGTTGTATATGTTTTGATTTTATTGCTGTATTATGTTGTCCGGGCTTGGCCCCATGTAAGCTGCTCCGAGTCCCCATCAGGGAGATGGTGGCGGGGTAGAAATAATGTTTTTTATTATTATTATTATTATTATTATTATTATTATTATTATTATTATTAACAAGTACCTCAAAAGCACCCAAGAAACCTTGTACGTTCCCCAAATCTCTGTTCTATTATAGTAAGTTGTAAGTATGTGTGTGTTAAAGAAAACCTTGTACTGTTGATTATTATGTGCAGCTGCTAATGTAGGTCAACTAATAAGCTTGGTCCACACCCGGTGGGGTATAACTGTATGGGTTTTAGAATACAGTTCAGCTTTTGCTCTGAGGAGCTTTGCTCAACCATTTCTACTGCTC